TTCACGGGGCTACCTCCCCCTTCCCCCACACGCATTTGGTGCAATTTACTTGCGTAGATTGCACAAGGTTGAACTAGCCTCAGGCGTTCATTTGCATGCCATATGTCGACTGGCTCGATTTTGTTTTTCTATGTTTGTATATGTTTGCACACATTGACTCGTTCGACCCTGTCCACCAGAATCGTGGTTCTGCACCAGACTGCTCTTCAAANCGATGTGGAGTCACGTGCGAACCGCTCATTCGATGCATTGACTAATATCACTTATGTGAACGATGACCAGAGGGACCTACAATCCAGACAGAAGAGAGGTTGACTAAAATTATCAATTGCCCAACAATGAAGTTCTTACCACATATCGGACGTGAAATATGACTGACTGATTTCCAAACTGTTTTCCGCTTACCGATCCCTTCTGAAGTTACATGTGCCAATTTGTGTCGACTCAAACCGATCGCGATTCCCATGGTCGACCAGTCCAAGTAACCTGGCACGTGTTACAAAGTGTTTTTCACATTCTCTATCTTTGTGTGTTTGCGCGCGCAGCGAGGGAAACCAGACATATTTACTCAATCCGTGTGTGCTCGTCAACTAAGGTTCGCACACAATCTGTATGCAGTCAGATAAAATCCATGATAATTAGCCATCAGACGAAATAAGTTTTTATTCCGTGTCAGAACACTGTACGCGTTCCAAGGTTCGATGTCATAGTTACGGAGAACCACTGTGTTATAAAAACAACCGAAGTGATGAATCCAAACAAAAATCCAAGCCATTCTTTGCAATTGTGCATTTCATCTTTGACATTATTTATCATACAGCTATGTATATTGAAGACAAATACTGCATTGGACCACACGATGACTAAGCTCCTTGTCTATTCATCTATCTATCTACCGTATTTGACCTATCATATCGGTTTGAATATCAGGAATTAATATCGCTGACTACAAAACTGTGAATGCTTCGCTTTTCTGCTTGTATCTCTTTTTCTTCTTGATGCTCGACTTCTAATCTACGGGTTAAGTGAAATCAACTGTATGTTCACCGATTCGCCAAATTGTTGATACAACCCACTGTTTACGTTAACCATGATTGTTTTCAGTATTGATCGAATTAAAATCTGGGATCGGCATGCACATGGATGGCCTTGTCTATCTTCAACGATTTGTTGATTTCTTTCTACAGGCTATACGTATTTCCGAATGTAATCATGAAAATAACATACATCTAAAAGTTCCTCTAACAATGCAGATTGGCTCCTTTTAGTGATTAAACACATCGCCATTCAAGCGTATTCGTTCATCACTGGTCTTACTCTTTCCCTAAGTTCAGTTTAACATTGACAATATACTCGTAATAAATAAGTTATGCATTCTGTTACTGTCATATGTGAAACATGTATTGACAGCTTTCCTCATAATACCTAATAAATCTACTGGGTTGACTGTCCTGTCTTTCTTACTTTCGAGGTCGGCAAACTCATCATTTGTCCATTTCACAACATCCAGTTGCATGACTCATCTTATCCCCATTAGCGATTACCGAATCCTCCCGTGGGTCGTGAATATTGACGCCATTCATCAGGTTACGGTTCTGTGCGGAGTTAAAACTGGGCAGACAGACAATCAGTCCCGGAAGAATAAAAAAATTTGTCACCGTTTTCTCGGTCTCCTTCTCTGTCTCTCTCCCTGTGTGTGTTACCACCTAGGGGCACACTCGTCTGCCCATCTTCCTGTGTGCGTTGTTGCTGTTGTTCAGCCAACGCGGCAGTGTATGATCGTTTGACTCTACTTCTTAATCGATTTTCCCGGTCGCACGAATATCTAACTGTCTGATTGTGAAATATCTAATCCGGACGTACACTTCAATTTTGCATTCCTCTACACTTGATTTCAACGGATGATCACATTGGATGAATTACTATTGTGTCGAGTCGGTTGCGGCCCGTTTCCAGTAATACCCGAATTACGATGCGAATGTGTTAAGATAAGAATAGTTGCTTAAGTATATTTCACCTTCGTTAATATAAAGTAAACTGCTAGCGTCTTGTTCCATTTGTTGCACCTACACCACTGTAGACGAAAGAAGCAATCAATTATTCCAACAATAAGCATACAGCTTTATATAAATCGTGATGAAGTAGAAGACTATTTTGCGACGCTGATTGTGGGATTTATTTTTAATTTCATCTTTGTTTCCTGTTGAATGAATCTATGCTTTACGAAAAACGAGTGGCTTTAGTTTGTCCCCAGTGCTTTACAGCTTTATGATTTACTGTCTTAAATCATAACTGCCATTTTATTCCCTCTATGGATTACTGATCGTGTCAAAGTGAAATAAAAGTTTGTGGTAATGTAATCTTTTGAATGTCGTTTCACTTAGTGCACTATGTGATGGAAATCGTTGTCCATTCTGGACGGGTGGTCAAAATAAGATCTGGTACGAGTGTATAAAAACCCTAACCAGGAGACTTGTGGTGCAATCCAAACAATTCCATTTCGCCTGTTCGCCGAGGTGACATCATCAGTGCCACTTCACAAGCACTGATGATGTCACCTCGGCTGACGATGAAACGTTTGCAAACAAATTGCCAAGCTCGGCGAACAGGCGAAATGGAATTCAGTTCAACCGAGCTACGAGAACCGATTTTCAATATTTTGTCAACAATCCAAACAGAGGGCATATTTCGCTGATTGTTTCCTATGCACATTGAGAGCAGTTTCACGCTCGCTGCTCAGTGGTGAGTTATACAATATGGTTTGAATCTTAGTCAGGTACAACGAGGACAGGCTACTCGCACCTGGCTATTTACTGTACAATGATTGTGCAACGCGAAATATATGCGAATGTCTTAGGTCCGAAGGAACATCAATGCTGATTGTCATTTTGTGGCTTTCGCAGTTTAGCTCATTTGTGAGTTGTGAATGGCTGAAAAACCTCGGCAAAGTTTCCTGATTGTTCAGGTGCTTTTCGCTCTGCGTACTTCTATTTTTTGCCGTTCATAGTTGTTTATACCTCTGTATGTATGCAAGCTTGCCTTTCTCCTTTTTCACTGTTGCTAATGCTCCGTTGACCCAATGTCCTTCTCTGTATGCGTGCACATTTTTCATGTTTATTCGGTGTACGAGACGCCTTGCATCGCTAACGGTATGATGAAAGGAGGTGATTCTGCGTAGGTGTGTATGCTTGCTAGCACGAAACTCTCCTCTATACACCCCAACCTAATAGTTATTCGCTGAATATATGGATTGTATCTGTTTCATTTTTCGATCACTGCAAAGTAATGCTATCAATCCAATAGTGCTCTTGTTCTCATGATTTCGGTTTGAACACAAATTTTTACGTGATTTAAATCGATCGGATTGTTTGACAAACATTGCTCGTCTGTAACAATTGAGAAATATTACCTGTCACAATCCGCAATCTGATTGGGTTGATTAACCTGAAGGTCACATGGCATCGCCACAATCTATGCATCATGACCCGAATTATATATATATATATATATATATATATATATCCTGGTTAGTACATTTTTCTC